CCACGAGTGCAACTGGAGGTCCAGAGCCCACAAGAAGGACTTACACCAGTCTCTTTATGGATCCGTGTGAGGAAGACCCAAAGGTCAGTAGTGGAAGCCAGAAAGTCCATTCCAGCGGGGTGAAGGACCTGTGCTGGTGGGATGAGGGTTCTACGCTGGAGCCGAGAAGTCACACAATAAATATCAGGGCTGTCCTGAAAGACACCACAGCCATCCTCAGCAACACGGAGGCCCTGAGCTTCTCCGATGACAAGCACAGTTGAGTACTTGCCAGGAAGCCAGTGTGAAGAATTTATCCTGAAGACCAAGCGGCACACATCTTCCTCTCCAGAGCCAGGAAGCAATGCTCAATGTGAGGACCAGAGCTTCTCCAGGCTTAAACAGCAACTCATAGGAGAACCCACAGCGCCTCAGTGCAATAACGCAATAACGCCTTAATGCCCTCCTTCGCCTACTCCATCTATTTATGCTGGCAACTTTCCTCAGGTGGAGCATCTTCACTCAGCGCCCTGTTGATGTAATCAAGCTGACATTAAGTTGACCACCAGTTCTTAATCCATAACACACTGTGACTGAAACTTGATAAATATTTCTTGTTGATTGAATCAGTGAAAGACATGTTGAAGAGAAGTCCAGAGAGGATGATGACCAAACCCCAGAGTCTTTGTAGGAAGAGGAGGCTGCATCAGAGCCTATTAAACATGGCGCTGGGGGTTTAGCTCAGCAGGCGTAAGTGCCTGCGGGGCAAGTGTGACATCATGAGTTTGACCCCTGGTACCAAAAAAAGTCACGCAGGTCTGAGCTGGTTGGGGAGAAGTGCGTGTAAAGCAGGGGACTGCATACAGAAGCTAGGAAAAGACGACCCCAGTAGAAAACCAAACAGCCTCAAAAACAAATGTCATAAGCTGCAGACCCCCGTCTTATAGTACAGCGGTTTGTTCCCTTGCTGTTTATTTTGTTTTCTTTCTTTTGCAGCACCGGGGATAGAACCGATGGCCTTCGTCACACTGAGCAAGCACTCTACTACTGAGCCAGGCCTCAGGCTGGTACAGTTTCTTTAAGGTACTTTCCAACTTTAATTTGAGTCTCATCATGACCTCAGGCTGCATTAACTCATAATAGGAAACATAGAAAAACAGACCAAAAATCCTCAGGATTCTACCATCTAGAAAATATCACTGTAATTCCACCTTGATGCAATCTCCTGACATCTTGTCCTATGACATATGTAATAAATATGTGGAATTTTGCTTATATAGTTCCTTTATATATTAATTAGATATGATATGTATATAGGTATATGTCACATTTGTTAGATAAAAGATACCCATCTGTCATTATCATCTTTTTTTTTTTGAGATGGGTCTCTCTGTTTAGTCCAGGCTGGGTACCAGGATGGCCTCAAACTCAGAGAGATCCTCCTGCTTCAGCCTCCCGAGTTCTGGGATTACAGATATGTACCATCACACCCAGCCTATCATCTCAGCTTGATGTCCTGGCACACAATAAGTACTGGATATATTTTGATGAATGATTGGATGGAAGATAATTATTCACTGTGCAGATTTTAACACTTGTTAACTCCTAAGGTAACAGTTATATGTGACAGTTTTCATGCTTCTCTAGCCAACATATTCAATCTTTTTACTAGAAGCAACATATTAAAACTATATAGACACAGACTCCTCAGGATGCCTCTTAATACAATCATCTAGATCACTGAGCAGTGACTTATAAATATGGTACTGATTTTCCTGGAATCAGTAATCTTTGAAACCTAGGAGTTAATGTGACCAACAGTATTGTTCATGAAGCAAACACCAATGTCTTTCCCTCCCAGGAGGGGAAAAACAACTGGATGTTGTGAGCATTAATTCACTGGATAACAGATTTGTCTTTTGTTCAAAAGACAAATGACGTCCTGATGATGACTCCAGCCCACTTATTGGGTGCCTGTGCTAGGGGTGCCCCCAGGACCCCGCAGTCCCTGGCTAACCTGGTCCCTGGCTCATAGGAGGAACAGAGTATTTTTCAAAGAAATAAAAAGGAAAATAATGACTACAGACAGCAATCTCTCCTTTATCCTTTCTTTTTAAATTTTATTATTAATTTTCCTTTATCTTTTCCAAAAAGGATATTTTCACTCTGGTTTCAAGTGATGTGGATATTGGAGAACTCAATATCCATTTTTAAACTATCAATAACCGGGCATCTGGTGCCTGTAGAACAAAAATCCATATCTAAAACCAGTCTTTCTATGTAGCTGACCGCCTCACTTTACTTCTTCCACTCTCTTCTCATCAGGAAAGAAGGCCCAGAGGCAAGGGGGTCTCGGGAGTCCAGAGAAAAGTAACCCCACCACGTCAACCTTGTATCCCTTAATGAAGAGTTCTTCCACTAGATGGCGCTATTTTCGCTTCCCGCGTAAGTGCCTCGGGGATGGGTTTGTGGTGTTTTGTTTTTCAGTTTTCTGTTCCTTTAGTAAGCAGCAGGTGACGGTAAGTTATTGATGTTTCTTTGGTTTTTCCTATTTCACATTTACCCTTGGGGACTTCCAAAAGTCCCTTTGCTTCGTAGGGCAAAGACACACCCCGAGCTGCAGCTCACTTTTCCACCTCCGGGTGGAAGTCACTGCAGAGGACAAAGCTCACTGACAGCCTTGTATGTCGTGTGTCGGGGGAAATGATCTCTCACACCTCTCTGCCTCTATGGTAATAAAACAAAGCCAAAGCAAAACATTGACTGCAGAATTCCCGTTTTCTAAATAGGGCAATACATTCATTAAATGATACAGATATCTTTCTTGGTTGGTTAACACTCTCTGCTAAGAGAAACTTCGAAAACTTTGCAGCTGCCCAAGACCCTTTCAGTACCTTGGTAGGTGCAGCCACCACCCCAGTGCTGCAGGAGTTAAATCCAAGGAAGGCAGCAAGAAAACACTGAGATCCAGGGACTCAGGCAGGAGTTGAGACACAAATGTGAACCAGTGGAATTCTACTCCGGATGCTTTTTCTTCAAAATATTAATTCAGGAGAGCAGGCCGGGCTCAGTCGCGGAAGAAAATGTTGGAGAACTGAGGTTTGGCTCTGCTATCGCCCAGATTTGGTCATCTAAATCCTGCTTGTGAGTACTCAGCTCACTTTAGAAGTACAGCGGTTTTTAGGTTTGGGGATGTTTTTACCCAATCCTCTCCTTTGGAGACTAGCAGGAGACAGCCTCCGGGACGACGCGGCGCCCCATAGCCCTGCCGGCCTCTGCCCTGTGCGCGCTCCAGGTCCAGGTGAGGCCGGGCCTGCGACTCTGCCGCGCCGACAGGTGGCCTTGCCCCGCCTCCCTGTCGCCCTGGGCGGCGCGCACAGCCTGCTAGCCGGGCACAGCTCCCGACCTAACATGCTGGCCTCTTGCCCTGGGACTGCGAGGCAGAGGCCCTGGCCGAGGGTGGTCGCGCCAGGCTTCCTCGCGCTGCAGGAACTAGGGTCCCGCGGAGCCCCGCTCACTGCTCCCTGCCCTCCTCCGCCAATCGCCCCGGCGACCCCCGGGTCCCATCCCAGCCCCGAGCGGCGATGATCCCGGGTGTCCGCCGCCTGCGGGCCACGACGCTCGGCCACCCACGGGCTCCACAGCGCCGACGGGTCACCCGTGTTAGCGAGCCACATTCCCAAGGACAAGCAGCGGGTGGCAGCACTGCCCTTGCTCCGGCGCCGTCCACGTCCCCTTCTGCCCCGGACTCGGGAGCCTGCAGGGCTCGGCCCCTCCTGAACTCGCGGGGAAGCATTCACTCCGACCCCTCCTCTTCCCCAAACTTCGCCGCCGGGCTTCCCTGTTCCCCCAGCCCGACCCTCTGCGCCCGCTGGCTCCTCCCACTCGCTGCCCTCCTTCTCCTCCTCCCTTGGTCCCCACTGAGGAATCCGCTCCCCCCGCCGGGTCCGGGATCCTCCCCCCGCGTGCCGCCCCCGCCCGGCCCGACCCCCTCCCCGCGCGGCGCTCCTGCCAAGCCCATGATGTAATGGTGTATGTTAATCAGGAGCATGTGGGGAGCTCCGGCTCGGGCCGCTCAGTCCTCCGCCAGCCGAGCCCGGAGGCAGCCGGCCGCCGGCCGCACCGCCCCGCACCCGCCGCGCCGCTCGCTCCTTGCGCCGCGCGCCCCGACGGCATGGCCCGCGGCCCGCACCGCGCGCGCCCCCAGCCCCGCTGAGCGCCGCCGCGGCCCCGGACCGCGCATGGGGCTCCGAGCCGCCGGGATGAGCCGCGCCGAGGTGAGCCACGCTGCTCTCCGCCCCGGCGAGAGCCTAACGGCCGTGGTGGCCTCATCCCGGGGCGTCCCTTCCGGAGGCCCCCAGAGCCCGTCCGTCACTGGGAGAGCCCGCGACGCCGAACTTGCTCTTCTGCTGTCGTTGGGGGGCGTGCGATCCGCGTTCCCCGCGGGGCCGCCCCACCGCGGGGGGAAGCAACCCCGCGAACTCGGTGGTCCCCGCGCGCCGCGAGCGCCCGTCACAGCGTCGCCTGGGACGGGGGACGCGCGGGCGAGGCGCGGGGCCGTACCGACTCGCCCGTAGGCGGCGGCGGGGGCGGGATGCCTGGAGCACACACGCGCGCACACGCGCGAGCGCGCACACGCACGCAACACCTCGGATCGCCGGGCCGCGGCGGGGCCCTGAGCGAGAGACCGAACGAGACCTCCCTGGCGGGCGGGCTGGCGCAGCGCGGGGGAGCCGGGGCTTCTGGCTGCGCCGCCGCCCGCTGCGCGCGGAGCTCCGGGTGGGGAGAGTTTATTTTTGTCTCAAGCTGCTGCCGCGGCTGCTCACGGCCTAAATCCAGAGGGGCGCCTGGCGGTGGAGATGCTGGCTGTTGCTGTAGATGGAGCTGCAGCCGCTCGGCTGCTTCTCGGGGAGGAGGAGGGAGGAGGAGGAAGGAGAGTAGGAGGAGAAGGAGGAGGAGGAGGAGGAGGAGGAAGGAACTCGGGCTGCCTCTGCCTCCGCCTCTGCTTTGCATTAGCCCACCCCACCCCCGCGCCCCTTGGATGCAGCCGCATTGCAAGTTTTCCGCGCGGGGAAGGAAGAGCCGCTGCTGGGCAGCCGGTCGCAGGCGCAGCCCCCGAGGCCGCCGGGCGGGGCGCGCGCGGGGAGTACCAGCCCCGAGCAGCCGCAGCAACAGGGAGCTCGGCTCCCCTCCCGCACCTGGGCGGGCGGCTTCAGAGCCCTTCCCCGCGCGGGGACGGCCCATCGCCCGCAACCCGGCGCCTCGGGGCTGTGGAATTTCGAGGGGGGCTCCTCCTCCACGGGACGCCCCCACGCACCCCGCCCCGCACCCTCGGATGCGCTGTCCCCGGCAGCTCTCTGCCCGCCCGCCGAGCTCTCACTGCAGCTCTCTCTCCTTCCAGAGCTGATCGCCGCTCGGGAATGCGGGAGTGAAGGGTCCGACTGCCGCCCAGCGGGAAGGAGTCCCCAGGACGCCGGAAACCACCATCCCGGAGCTTTCAGGAGGGGAGAAGAGAGTGCACTCTTTATTCAGTTGTGTGCCTTGCCAGAGATTTTTTTTTAAAAAATCAAAAAAAAATTTTTTTTTTGAAAAGAAACATTTCCGTGCCACTGTCTGTCATCGTCCCTGGGAAAATCAGCCAGGAGCAGCGGAACATCCCTGAAACCAGACGGCCTAGGCAGGAGGCGTCCAGGCAGTGCCCGCAGCGTCAGGCGCCCGGGCCACCTTAGCACCGGGACGCGTCTCCGGAGGGGCCTGTGGGCCTGCGGCTCCCTCAAACTTTGGGGTCGGCGGGGCTGGCGAGGGGGCTTCATAGATCGAGGACAGCCCTCCAACCATGATGTTTCGCGACCAGGTCGGGGTGCTGGCGGGCTGGTTTAAGGGCTGGAACGAGTGCGAGCAGACTGTTGCGCTGCTGTCGCTGCTTAAGCGCGTGAGCCAGACCCAGGCCCGCTTCCTCCAGCTCTGCCTGGAGCACTCGCTCGCCGACTGCGCCGAGCTGCACGTCCTCGAAGGCGAGGCCAACAGCCCGGGTAAGTGTGCTGCCACCACCGCCGCCGCCGCCCCGCCCACCCCGGGCCTCGGCCCCACCCCCTCCCGGGACGGCGCGGCGCGGCCCCCCGGGGGACCCAGTCCCGCAGCGCGCGCGCCCCGGACCTGTTCCTGCCACCCACTCACCTTGGCGGGCCGCGTTGGGGTTTTGTAAACTCCTCAGGCTGTTCTGTGTGGTAGCTACGGTAGCATGATTGATTGATTTTTCTCTCATGCAGTTTCCCGGGAAATAAGTAAGTCAGGTCACGTAGAGTCTGGATTTTCTGGGTTTGCCCCCCCCTCCCTTCTTTTGGGCAGTGTGGCTCGCTGGATTTCAGCAACCCATGAAGAAGCCCGGACTGGACTGTCCACCAGCTGCCGAGCTTGGGTCAGGCTGCAGGAAACGCACCTGAACGTGCAATTTTAATATCCACCCCTAACCCCGTGGACATTATGTTTTGAAGGTTCGCCTTCTTAATACTATGTAGATAACGCCACCGACTATCAAAATGACATTTGCAGCAGGCACGGAGGATGGGATACACTCACTGGCCATGACGTTATCTCTACGGATAGGGATCTCGGAGGCGCTAGTGTGAATTGGGGTTCCACAGTGTTTTCTGTTGGGAAACTTTCTTGCATGGAACCCAAGTGTTTCACCTGACTAGCTGGCATTTACAGACACCTTGAGTGGTATAGAAAGTGAACACATTTAAAGGTCCAACAGTTTACCGTTGTTTGGCGAGGGTGGTGACAGCTTGAAATGATATCCTTAGCGGTCAGGGGTGGCTGGGGTGGAGGGAAGGTCTTAGGGTCGGGAGTTTGGATGCGGAGAGGGAAAGCTCAGTTCAGCACGCTGCAGCAGGAAGGTGAACAGAGCCCCCAGTGTTTCTGCAGAGAAAAGAATGCAGGGTCCTCTCTCCCAGCTGTTCTGTGTTAGAGGCAGCCAGGGCTACACTGCCTGCTATTGATTGGGTCACTAGGTCTAGGCCAGGGGCAGGGGCTGGGGAGTGTGTCTTTTCGGAGTTGCCAGCGCAGTAACGGGGAGGAGAGGCGGCCTCTTCCTCATTCTTGCTGCCTGGGGTGGCCCTCCTGATGCTGAACGCCGGAGGATGGGTTGTTTCCATATATAGCATCCTAGGGTGGAAGTGACCGCTGGAAATCCTGGCAGGCCTTTGCCTGACTGCATCCACAAGATCCCACACTGCCAAGTATGGAGGGTGATTCGGAGGGAGCCCATTCAGCCCAGCCCACACGCCACTCACGAGGGTGACAGCAGCAGGCAGGCAGGCAGGCAGGCCGGCCACCTTCCCTGGGGCTCTATGTTTATAAATAGCGGAGCAGCCAGCGCCTTCCTGAGGGATGAGGAAGGGGTGATACAGCCCCCTCTTCGCTTTCATGTCAGCAGTGGTTAACCTGCTTCGTTTTGCTTTCTTGGGTTTGAAAAACAAGGTTACATAAACCTTTTCGTTAAAGATTTTAAGTGCAGTTGTTTGCGTAGAGCCTGACTTCAGCCCTCTTAGAACTGTTTAATGGGAACTGGTCTGTATGTAACTCAGATGGAGGAGCAACATTTTTTCCCCATGAGTAATGGAGAGGATATTCCTCTCCCAGTATCGCAGCAATCACGTTAGCTAAGAAAAGCAAGTAGACCTAAAGTATTAAAAACACATGGCGGAGCTTCGACACACAGAACTATTCAACCTCTGCAAGGTTGGTTTTTTTTTAAAAAATCCTTCGGTGGTTTTTCCCCCCACAAGCTTTTATAAACCTTTATTCATTTGTATAAGATACCTACTTATTTGTGCTGGGAAGTGATGTAGATGCACAAAATGTAGAACCATTATGTAAGGCAGGCACCGGTTTCCGGTTTCTGGATTAATCGTTCCACCTAAATATTTTGCCTGGCTGGAAACCTTCGCACTTAATTTTGTTGTGCGGCTGGGATAGAGATTCACTGGGGAGCTCCTCGGAGGCTTTGACTGACTTTTGGACGATGGGAATCAGAAAGAGCATGGAAATTTGTCAGTATACCTCTTGTGCCTGTCTGCGTTTCTGGAACTTGATTGAGAAGCAGGAAGGAGGCAAAGGTGTCTACTTAGCAACCAGAGAGGTGGCCCAAAAATCCAGAGACTACTTCAGACTCTCCCTCAGGATATATTTACCGTGACTCTAGGCACAATCCTAGCATTGCTTTGTTTTTTTTTTTTTTTTAATTTGAAAAGTAACCCACAGGACATTAGAAATAGCACCTTTCAAATGAAGAGAAGGTCTACCATAGCCAGCAGTGAAACGTGACCCCTGATAACTGTTCAACTAGATAAGGATAGAAAAACTATAGCTTTTGACACACATTTGGAGCAAAAGGCCTGACACCTTGGCAGAAACCCTGAATTGACCCTCCAGGATCCCTTTGCAATCATGTAAATCAATACTTGCTATTTATGGGTCATCACGGCAAGCTATCTAAAGAATACATTGATGTTAAACAGAAAGAATTCTTAGAAGATAGGGAAATGTTCAGTATACTTGGAAAATGTTTACACTGCAGATATTTAACCTCCGAAGCTGAGTTGGTGCATAAAGTTCTTACCAATTCAGAAAAAGAGGCTGTGTAGAATGAGTCATTCATTGAACTGCTGGGATTTCCTGTACCCAAGTCATCCTATTATTTATTTTGCCTGATGTGGTTGAAACACACACACACACACACTCACATACTCTTCTAGTGGTTAGAGATTTTAAAAACTTGATGAATGAGAAACTTGATATCTGGGGCTCAATGCAGCATAATAAAGAAAAGACAGGGATAGGGTGAACTTGGTTCTGTTCTCTGCAGAACTGAGTTTAAATGGAGAGATTGCTCTTAAACATGGTTTGTTTGAGATCTGGAGGATGTTGACAATAACTTACTTTCTTCAGTGGGTTGAGAATCTGGCAATTCACTGTTTCATCTTTCACCTCAGGTTCATCCTCATTGGAAATGCAAAGAAAAGAATTGTCTCAGTCCCTACTTAGTTTGCATCTTGACTGTCCCCCGAAGGGCCATGGGTTAAAGCGAGGCTCTTTTGGCAGAAGTGGGGTTTGGGGTGCGTCTTTCGGTCATGAGGGAGGGGTCTGCCCTTGAAGAGGAGATTGGACCCCTTTCTCTTTTCCTCTTTGTCTCCTGGCCATGAGTTGAATAGTTTTGCTCTGCCTTATGTGTCCTGATAGAGCCAACTGATCACAAACTGAAGCTCCAAAAACCATGAGCCAAAATAAACCTTTTCTCTTTATAAGTTATCACCTCAGGTATTTGATAACAGTGATGAGAAGCTGACTGGTGCAGTCCCATGGATTTGTATGTAGCCTTCACCTTGGCTTGGCAATGGGTACTGCTACAGGTCTCCTCTCTAAGTTTTGGCTTCTTTGTAGAATGCTCCTGCCCTTAACTGAGGGCCCTTTGGCCACTAGCCCCACATCACCACTGCCACCTCTAGCTGGGCTCCTTTTGCAGAGAGTGATTTCTGGGAAGAGCAGTTCATTAGATCCTTATAAATAGCCAAAATGAAATTCCCCAACTTTATCTGTGATTCTTAAAGGAAAAATAGGATGTGGCATTGTTTGTGACTTTTGTCTTAAATGTGAAATACATTTTGCAGTAAAAACAGTGTAATAAAGATTCACAAGTTAATCCATGAAGACTTTTAAGTCAGAAAATAATACGTATTTTGTGGGGAATTGTGGTGTTTGTATTAATGGCAAAGATATTGTTGCTCATTTCCAGTTAAATGTGGGAGAAAGGTTTATCTGAAATAGTGGTGCAGGAGGAAAAATGATTGTGGATATTGGAAGGAACTCATAGGTGTATTTGCAAATATAGAAGGCTTCTGTACTGGTTCTATGATTTTTATGATTTCTCATTTCCATGGTTTAGGTATGGCATCCTCTACATTTATTTGCTTTTTAAAATCACCAGTGGGGAAGAAGGAAGGTAGAAGAGGTTTTTCTGATGATGTGGATAAGGTCTTATTTGTAGTTCTTTCGCTCAGGTATTCATCAACAAACGTTTTGTGGCAAGCTTTGTATTTCCTCACCCAGTGGGCTGCAGTGGGAATACACAGTGGCTGGTACATGATGCATAACTCTTGCTGTCGAGTAAATGACTGATAAAATAGTACAGATGCCGAAGCATAGAGGGGAACTGAGGAGTCTGAAGGGAGGGCTGCTGGGTTATTGTGAACCTAGCAGCTAATTGTTGGAGGCAGGAGGTTCAGGGAAAGACATGTAGAAGTGCCAGCATTAGACAGACAGTGCTCTGTGGAAGGGACTGGTGCGTGCAGGAAAAGCTGAGCTTGCGGTGGCTAGGAGTGAGCGGAGCGCTGGGGTCTGAGAGTCAAAAATTAGAAGCAGAAACGACAAGTGTGCAGGACTCCGCTCGCCAAAGAATTCAAGTTAATCCTCAGAGGTGACATAGAATCCAAGTAGCCAGTAGGCAGGAGCATGCTGAGAGCTAAGACGCAGGAGGAAGGGGGCACAGTGGAGTGCACGTGTGGTGTGTGAGCCGTGTGTTGTGCTTCACTTGTGTGTGGTACACGCACGTGTGTGTGAGTCGGTCCAGCTGGGTGTGTGCATATACACTTTTGGGAAAGACTTTACCTGGCGCACACTCCGAGCTGTTTGCTTCCAACAGTTTCTCTTTGGGTGACAGTGGCATCACCAGCTTGGGGCAGCTTGGTGGCCGTCAGCAGCAGCGTACAGGAGACAAGAACCAGCTATGCTAGCAGAGGCGGTTCCTGTCCTGGGCATACTCAGAGGGCAGTGGTGGTAAACCTGTGGCCATTTATTCTCATTTAAAGCCCTGAGAGGTTCGCCATCACTTCTTAGAGGGTTTTCTTGGAACCCACATTTTGAAATCTATCAGAGTGGGGCTAATTTGTGATCTTCTGTGTTTGTATCTTTCCAAGGAGGATGATCAATCTCATGATTGTCTAGAAGTTCCTCGTTAGTGATCCCCGTAAGG